AACGACTGGAAAACAGCTGGAGCATTAGTTAATCCGAATGGCATCACCAGATATTCAAAATGTCCCAGGGGGGTGTTGAACGCTGTCTTCCACTCATCCCCCTCTCGTATTCTGATAAGGTGATAAGCATTACGAAGATCTAACTTTGAAAAAACTCGTGCATGGCAAAGAGGCTCGAAAGAGGGATCGATAAGAGGGAGAGGACTACAGTCTTTTACCGTGATATCATTAAGACCTCCGTAGTCGATGCAGGGGCGCAGGGAGGAGTCCTTCTTCTCGACGAAGAAAAAGCCTGCCCCCAGAGGAGACGAGGAGGGACGAATCAATCCAGCAACCAAAGACTCATTGATATACTCCTCCATGTCCTCCTTCTCTGGCCGAGAGAGCTTGTAGAGCCTGCTGGAGGGCAGCGGCACGCCGGGCAGGAGATTGTTTGCGCAATCATAGGGGCGATGAGGAGGCAGGGCGCGTGCCAGGTCCTTACTAAAAACTGTAGCAAGGTCGTGATACTCGGGCGGCACAGAAATCAGATTCGGAGGGGGCGCCGAATGCGCAGCCGGACTCCTCTCCGGAGCCGCGGACTTCAGACAATGCGCGTGCCAAGAGATGCTCCAGCTGGTGACGGTCGAGGTTATCCAGTTCAAGTGGGGATTGTGCCGACGTAACCAGGGGAGGCCCAGCACAGCGGGTGACAGCGGAGAGGTGATCACATACTTCTGGATAGTTTCTCTACGATTCCCCGAGATGATCATGGACAAGGGTCGGGTGCGATGTGTGACCGTAGCGAGGAGTCTGCCGTCAAGGGCTTTGATAATTTTCGGGGTGTCAAGTAACTCGAGAGGGGCACGAATCTGTGTGGCAAACTCCTGATCAATAAAGCTGTCGTCAGCACCTGAATCAATCAAAACCTGCACAGGGAAAACTCGTGAATCCATGTGTAGACTGGCCGGCAACGTGAGCCGTGGAGAAGAGCAGGGGAAAACAGAGGTTTGACTCACCAGAGCACTCTTCTTCACTGGTGAGTCCGGTCTTTTAACGGCTCCTGGCAGCTGGCAGCGTAGTGACCTAGTCCACAATAAAGGCACAGTCGCTCTCGCATTCTCCTCTGTTGCTCCGGGAGGGAGAGGCGAGCCTGGCCGAGCTGCATGGGCTCTTCCAGAGGAGCCGAGTGGGGGACCGCCTGCTCAGGGCTACAGGAAGGAGGGGCCGGAGACTTTGGGGAGAAAGCTGGAGAAGGCGTCAGTCTCCCTATCCTGGCTGATTTCTCCCTCCTCCGCTCTCGTATTCTGTTATCAACCTTAATTGCTAAGGAAATTAGTTCCTCGAGAGAGGAGGGTGCGTCACGAGATGCCAATTCATCTTTCAGTTCTTCAGATGAATTGCGTGAAAACAATGTCATCAGAGCAGGCTCATCCCACCCACATTCTGCAGCTAAAATCCTAAATGAAATTGAATAATTTGCAGCTGACTGCGAACCCTGCTTCAAATCAAACAACCTGTTTAAGGCTTNGTACGAGAGGGAATAATTAAAACGAGTGAGAAACAAGGCCCAACGGGCTTGGCGGGGGTTCAAGCGCCGGGCCGAGCGGAGGTAGGCAAGGTTTTTATGATCAGTCCAAATGAGAAACGGCTGGCTGGATCCCTCCAGCCAGTGTCTCCACTCTTGGAGCGCCAAAACCACCGCTAGCAGCTCGTGGTTGCCAACATCATAGTTCTTCTCCACTGGACTGAGGCAGCGGGAAAAAAACGCACAGGGGTGCAGATTCCCGCTGGGAGAGGACAGCCCCCATTCCAGTATCAGAGGCGTCGACCTCCACCACAAACTGGAGGGACGGATCCGGGTGCTTGAGAACGGGGGCGCTCGTGAACAGTGACTTGAGGGTCTCGAACGCGTTGTCGGCCTCAGAACTCCAACAGAAAGAGGTCTTTGTAGATGTGAGGCTCGTGAGAGGAACAGCTGCCTTGCTGTAATCCCGGATGAAGCGTTGGTAGAAGTTTGCGAACCCCAGGAACCGCTGTAACTCCTTGCGGTTCCCTGGAGTGGGCCAGTTCGCAACAGCTTCAATCTTTGCGGGGTCCGGTCTTAGCTGCCCCTGGGCGATGACGTAACCCTGAAAACTGACAGATGAAGCGTGGAATTCACATTTCTCCGGTTTCACATATAGCCTGTTCTCCAGGAGGCGCTGAAGAACCAGTCTCACATGTTGTCGGTGCTTGTCTGTGTTCTGGGAGAAGATCAATATATCGTCTAGATATATAAAAACAAAATGATTTATCATATCAGGAAAAATGTTATTCATTAACGACTGGAAAACAGCTGGAGCATTAGTTAATCCGAATGGCATCACCAGATATTCAAAATGTCCCAGGGGGGTGTTGAACGCTGTCTTCCACTCATCCCCCTCTCGTATTCTGATAAGGTGATAAGTATTACGAAGATCTAACTTTGAAAAAACTCGTGCATGGCAAAGAGGCTCGAAAGAGGGATCGATAAAAGGGAGAGGAGTACAGTCCTTTACCGTGATATCATTAAGACCTCCATAGTCGATGCAGGGGCACAGGGAGGAGCCCTTCTTCTCGACGAAGAAAAAACTTGCCCCCAGAGGAGATGAGGAGGGACGAATCAATCCAGCAGCCAAAGACTCGTTGATATACTCCTCCATGGCCTCTTTCTCTGGCCGAGAGAGCTTGTAGAGCCTGCTGGAGGGCATCGGCACGCCGGGCAGGAGATTGTTTGCGCAATCATGGGGCGATGAGGAGGCAGGGCGCATGCCAGGTCCTTACTAAAAACTGTAGCAAGGTCGTGATACTCGGGCGGCACAGAAATCAGATTCGGAGGGGGCGCCGAATGCGCAGCCGGACTCCTATCCGAAGCCGCGGACTTCAGACAATGCGCGTGCCAAGAGATGCTCCAGCTGGTGACGGTCGAGGTTATCCAGTTCAAGTGGGGATTGTGCCGACGTAACCAGGGGAGGCCCGGCACAGCGGGTGACAGCGGAGAGGTGATCACATACATCTAGATAGTTTCTCTATGATTCCCCGAGATGATCATGGACAAGGGTCGGGTGCGATGTGTGACCGTAGCGAGGAGTCTGCCGTCAAGGGCGTTGATCATTTTCGGGGTGTCAAGTAGCTCGAGAGGGGCACGAATCTGTGTGGCAAACTCCTGATCAATAAAGTTGTCGTCAGCACCCGAATCAATCAAAACCTGCACAGGGAAAACTCGTGAATCCATGTGTAGACTGGCCGGCAACGTGAACCGTGGAGAAGAGCAGGGTAAAACAGAGGTTTGACTCACCAGAGCGCTCTTCTTCACTGGTGAGTCCGGTCTTTTAACGGCTCCTGGCAGCTGGCAGCGTAGTGACCTGCTTGTCCACAATAAAGGCACAGTCGCTCTCGCATTCTCCTCTGTCGCTCCGGGAGGGAGAGGCGAGCCTGGCCGAGCTGCATGGGCTCTTCCAGAGGAGCCGAGGAGGGGACCGCCTGCTCAGGGCTGCAGGAAGGAGGGGCCGGAGACTTTGGGGAGAAAGCTGGAGAAGGCGTCAGTCTCCCTATCCTGGCTGATTTCTCCCTCCTCCGCTCTCGTATTCTATTATCAACCTTAATTGCTAAGGAAATTAGTTCCTCGAGAGAGGAGGGTGCGTCACGAGATGCCAATTCATCTTTCAGTTCTTCAGATGAATTGCGCGAAAACAATGTCATCAGAGCAGGCTCATCCCACCCACATTCTGCAGCTAAAATCCTAAATGAAATTGAATAATTTGCAGCTGACTGCGAACCCTGCTTCAAATCAAACAACCTGTTTAAGGCTTAACGGGGTGGTCAAAAATTTTACAGAGCTCAGCAGTGAACGTCTTATAGGAGCTCAATAAAACCGACTTGTTCTGCCAACGTGCAGTAGCCCACTGGGCCGCTTGACCTCGTAAGAGGTTGATGCAAAATGCTATCTTGGCCTTGTCGGACGGGTAACTAATGGGGTGTAAATCAAACACCAATTGACAAGTTAACAAAAAAACGGCTACAAGAACCCGGCTCCCCGGCATAAGGCTCGGGATTGGGAACCCTGGGTTCCCTGGGCGAAGGAGAAGGAGAGGAAGCAGAGTCAGAAGAAGCACCCGCAGGGGGGTCCGGTGAAGTCGTAGTACCGGCAGCCGCCAGTTGATTCAACTGCGAGGAGATTTCCTGCACACTCAGAGAGAGAGTCTGTAAAGAGTCCATAACTCCCTGCAGCAACTGATCATGCTTGCCAAGTAGGATCCCTTGAGCGTTGAGGGCCTCCTTAAACGTGCTGGGGATCGCAGGGTCCATGTTCTTGGCCAAACGATTCTGTCATGGCCCGGTGGCCGTAAAAACGGGTGTGCGGGACCCAAACGAGAGGGAGGCGACTTAAGGAGGTAAAAGGTTTATTCGGGGGACCCGGGGAGTGAGAGGGGCACCAGGAGGCAGGTGAGGGATCCAGGGGTCCACGGTGCAGCCTGAAATCCATTGGTGAGGGTGGTGTCTCGTGCCAGTTGTAAAGGCCCGGTCTGTCCTCACTCCATAGGCACCCAGCAGGGGTGAATTGATGCCTTATGATTGTCTGTGAAATAGTGTAGATGTATTTTGTCACTGGGGTCACAGGTATTGTTTATTGAGT